GTGAACAAATCTATCGAATGTCAAGATTGTATTGTTAGAGTGTCAGTAATGAAGGAGTGCTGCATTGTCTGATGGTCAATGTTGACAGGACACCTCGCTGTCAGACAGTCAGTAATGAGACAGTGCTGCTCTGTCAGAGGGTCAGTACTAAGACAGCGCTGTTCTGTCGGAGGATCAGTACGGATAGAGTGTTGCACTGTCAGAAGGTTATTACTGAGGTAGTGCCGCACTGTCAGAAGTATCAAGGGAATGCTGCACCATCAGAGGGTTAGTACGGAGGGAGTGTGGCACTGTCGAAGGGTCAAAACTGAGGGAGTACTGCACTGATAGAGTGTTGCACTGGCTAAGGGAGTACTGATGGTGCACCACACTGTCAGAGGGTAGGTACTGAGGGAGTGTGCACTGTCAGAGATCAGTAATGAGGGAGAGAGCAGCACTGTTGAATGGTCTGTACTAAGGGAGTGCCATACTGTTGGAGGTCAGTATTGAGTAAGTGTCGCACCGTCAGAGGCCAGTATCAAGGGAATGCTACACTATCAGAGAGTCATTACTGAGGGAGCGCTGCACTGTCAGGTGGCCAGTAATTAGACAGTACAGTGGAATGATGCCACAAACCACAATGTGATGCGATACAGGGAAAGCAGTTTAGTCTTTCCTATTACCTTCTTTTTGTAATTAGGTCTCTAGCCTTTTTTATCTCTATTCTTAAAACTAAATTGTGAAGTAGACAATTGAAAGGAATGACAGTAAAGTGCAAAAAGTGAGGTTTCTTCAAGTGTTATGAGCTGCAATATTACAGTAATTAATCAATCAATTAATTAAAGGAGAATACTGATGGCGGAACGGATTATGTGTTGCTGTTGGAGCTGCTGGATACTAAGGTGCTCCAGAGTGAACATATCTGTACTGACTATTTGCAACTCGAGGAACTTCAGATTCAAGTTGAGGAGCTGGAGTCTGAGCTGCACACACTGAAGTCCATCAGAAAGGGGAAAGTTACCTGGACACATTGCTCCAGAGGTCGGTCATACACCTCAGACTAGATAATTCAACTTTGGTTTGTGATTAGGGACAAGAGGGTGTGACAATAGGTAAGGAAGGTATGAGGGCTCAGGGGTTGCAACTGAGGAATCTCAGTCCCTGCAGTTGCTCAACACTTACAAAGTTCTTGTGAATTATGTGGGTGACAGCTGATACAAGGAATGACCATGACACCTTGGTGTAGGGGGCCATTCAAGTCAGGGAAAGAAAGAGCAATGTCATAGTGGTAGGAGACAGTGATAGGTACTGTTCTCTAAATTCATGAGTGGGGATCCTGGAGGCTGTGTCACCTGCCTGGTGCCAGGGTTAACGGCCTCTCAGCAGGGGTGGGGGTAGGGGTGGAGAGCTAATTGGAGAGGGAGGGAGGGACCCAGTAATACACTGGTGAATTGAACAAGTAGGGCTGTAGACGAGGTTTTAGACTAGTTAGGAGACGGGGAGGGTTTGGAAGAGGGGAAATGTCAGTTTACAAAGCAAGAGATATGGCAGTATTACAAGACAGCTATAAGACAGGAAGGAACAGAGTTTCCACGATTGAAAAAAGCACGGAACAGGGTTGAGAAGGGAATTAATGATGGAAAGGCAAAATTAACCGCTCTTTAGTTGAAAGTATGCATGCTTTGTAACAAAATAAACGAATACAAGTTAGTAGCCATTAAGAAAAAATGGTTACAAGGAGATCAAAGCTAGGAACTAAATATTCAGCAGTTTGTGACCTTTCAAAAGGACAGGCAGGAAGAACAGCGTGGTTGCATAGCATTGTTAATACGGGACAGAATAGGTATGATCGGAAGAAGTGATCTTGGATCGGATTATCTAGAATCCATAGGGTGGTGGTAAGAAGTAAAAGGGGAGAAGTCACTGGTGGGAGTAGTGTATAAGTTCCCTAACAGTAGCTATGCAATGGGACAGAGAATAAATGAAGGGATAATGAGGATCTGTAATTAAGGCAGTAGATTAATCAATAGGTGACTTTAATCTTCATGTAGATTGGGAAAGTCTGATTGGCAGAGGTAGCCATGAGGAAGAATTCACAGAGTGTATTCTGAACAGTTTTCTAGAACAATACACTGTTGATTTAACCAGAGATCGGGCTATTTTGGATCTGGAGATATGTAATGAAGCAGATTTAAGAAATGATCTCAGAGTAAATGATTTCTCTTCTTGAAAACAGTGACCATACCAAGATGTAATTTAGCATTCAGTTTGAGAGAGAGAAAAACATGTGTCAGAAATTAGAATAATTATGGAGTCATAGAGATATATAGCAGATAACTGACCCTTTGGTCCAATTCATTCATGGCAACCAGAAATCCTAAATAAATCTAGTCATATTTGTCAGCATTTGGCCCATATCCCTCTAAATCCTTCCTATTCATATAGCCATCCAGATGCCTTTTAAATGTTGTAATTGTACCATCGTCTACCACTTCCTCTGGTAGCCCATTCCATACATGCTCCACCCTCTGTGTGAAAAAGTTGCACCTTAGATCCCTTTTAAGTGTTTCTCCTCTCACCTTAAATTTATTGCCCTCTAGTTTTGGACTCCACCACCCCGAAAAACATTGTCTGTTTAGCCTATCCATGCTCCTCATGATTTTATAAACCTCTATAAGGTCACCCCTCAGCCCCTGATGCTCCAGGGAAAACTGCCCCAGTCTATTCAACCTCTCCCTATAGCTTAAACCCTCCAACCCTGGCAACATCCTTGTAAATCTCTTCTGAACCTTTTAAGTTTCACAACATCATTCCTATAGCAGGGAGACCAGAATTGCACGTAGTATTCCAAAAGTGGCCCAACCAACGTCCTTTACAGCCGCAACGTGACATCCCAACTCTTATACTCAATGCACTGACCAAAAAAGGCAAGCATACCAAATGCCTTCTTCACTAACCTATCCACCTGTGACTCCACTTTCTAGGAACTATGAACCTGCACTCCAAGGTCTCTTTGTTCAGCAACACTCCCCAGAACCTTACCATTAGGTATAAGTCCTGCCCTGATTTGCTTTTTCAAAATGCAGTACCTCACATTTATCTAAATTAAACTCCATTTGCCACTCCACAGCCCATTGGCTCATCTGATCAAGATCCCGTTTTGCTCTGAGGTAACCTTCTTCGCTGTCCACACTATACCTACAATTTTGGTGTCATCTGCAAACTAACTAACCATACCTCCTATGTTCACATCCAACTCATTTATCTTAATGATGAAAAGCAGTGGACCCAGCACCAATTCTTGTGGCAGACTGCTGGTCACAGGCCTCCAGTCTGAAAAGCAGCCCTTCACCACCACTTAACTTTAAGCCAGTTCTGTATCCAAATAGCTAGTTTTGCCTCTATTCTGTGTGATCTAATCTTGCTAACCAGTCTACCATGAGGGACCTTGTCAAATGCCTTACTGAAGTCCATATACATCATAAACAAAACAGGAGTTGCTGCAAAAGCTCAGCAGGTCTGGCAGCATCTGTGAAGAAAAATCAAAGTTAACGCTTCAGGTCCGGTGACCCTTTCTCAGTTCTGGAAGATAAAATAGATAGAAGACTCCAGCATCTGCAGTTCTTGCTATACCTAGATAACTATAGGTCAGATAGCTTAATGTTTGCTATTTTATTGGGAAAATGTTAGAGTACATTATAAAAGATGTAATAGCAGAGCATTTATAAATAGATAATATGATCAAGTAGAGTCAGCATGGCTTCAGAAAGGGAAAATCATGCCTGACAAACTTACTAGCATTTTTTGAGGAGATGGCAAGCAGGATAGAAACAGGGAAAACAGTAATTGTAATATATTTGGATTTTCAGGTGCTTGAAAAGGTACCACGCATTAGGTTACTTAATAAGAGTCCATGGTGTTAGGGTAGCACGTTAGCCCGGATAGAGAACTGGCTAACCCAGAAGGCAGAGTTAGGAATAAGGGGGTACATTTTCAGGATGGCAACCTGTAACTACTGGAGTGCCACAGGGATCAGTTCTGGGGCTACAATTATTCACAATACTTTATAATAATTTGGTTGAGGTAAGTGAGGGTACTTTAGCCAAGGAAATGGATGAGACAAAGTTGGGGAGGCATGATGACAATGACAAAAAGAGTTTGCAGAGACATATAGGCAGGTTATGTGAGTACACAAAAACTTTGCAGATGGAATATAGTGTGGGGAAATGTGAGATTATGCACTTTGGCAGAAAGACTAGTGGAGGTGAACATTAGTTAAATGGAAAAAGACTGCAAAAGCTACAGAACAGATGAATTTAGGAGTCCTCATGCACAAATTACAAAAAAGTAACACCAAGTTCAGTGAGTAATAGGACAGAAGCATGGAATGATCACCTTAGACCACACCCGGAATACAGCGAACAGTTTTAGTCCCCATATTTTAGGAAAGACATATCAGCATTACAGGCAGTACAGAGAAGGTTCACTAGGCTAATACTGAGAGACTGTCTTATGAGGAGAGATCGAGTAGGTTGGGCCTGAAGTCAAAAGATTTGAGAAGAATGAGTGGAAGCCCTATTGAAACATACAAAATTCTTGAGTGACTTAACAGGATAGATGTGGAAAGGTTGTTTCCCCTTGTTGAAAATCTAGATCCAGAGGGCATAATCTCTGAATAAGAGTTGCACATTGAAGACTGGGAGGGTTTCTCCCTCAGAAGGTAGTGAATCTGTGTAACTGTTCACCACTGAGGGCTGTTGAGGCTGGGTCATTAAGTATATTCAGGGCTGAGACAGACAGATTTCTAATGAGTAAGGGAATCAAGAGTTTGGGGAAAACGGAGGAGAGTGGAGTTAAGGATTATCAGATCAGCCACACCTCACTGAATGGCAGAGCAGACTCTGATGGGCTGAATAGCCCACTGCTCCTCCATCTTATCATCTAATTGTTTGACAATGTGGAGACTGAAAAACAAACAGGACATTTAAGATGAGCTGTAGCTTTGTTGCCTTTCCCTGTACCTGTGACAGTCACTTTAAACGTCAGTTTGTCTGAGCCAGCATCACAGATGTATTGTCCAGAATCAGATGGCTCGGAGTCAAAGATCATCAGCTCCCGTGTCAGACCCCGTGATTCAATCCTGATTTTGTCACTGGGCTGCAGCTCCATCCCATCCCTGTACCAGTAAACCTGCACATCTGGACGGGATAGTTTACACGTCATGGCAATGGTCTCAGACTCAATGAAACTGCGATCTTCCGAGATCTGAGAGCTTCCAACAATCATCACGGGAGGATCTGGAAGGAAAGCCATGAAGTTTATCAAGAATGAACCATCAGAATTTAGTATGTGCATCACCTGGGGCATTGAGACTTTCATTTTTGCCAGAGATTTATAGCTATATAGCAAGAACAAGTTGCATTATTATAGCACCTTTACATCACAAAAATTGAACTTATGATAGTAAAATGTAGGGTATGCAGGGTGGTTCGATTTTAGAGTAGGATAATAAGTTGGCACAACATCGTGGGCCGAAGGACCTGTACTGTGCTGTACTGTTCTATGTTCTCACAAAGCACCTTTGACAGAAAAAAACATGCAATTATATGGCACATTTGCATAGTTCTTGCATTTATAAAGCACCATTGACAATAAACAGATGCACTTACACAGCATGATTGTACAGTAAAAATTTTCACTTATATAGCATCTTGCACAGCAAAACTTACATTGATATAACATCATTTTGCTGTAAACTGTGCGTTTATACTGCACTTTTGCACAGTAAAATATGTTTGAATATTTCACAGCATTGTTACCAAACATAATTCGGTAACGACAGCACCAAACCACATCTGGATGGAGACACCAAACCTGGAGAAAGGGATAAGCTTTGAGAAGAGTGTTAAAAGGACAGAAAGAATTGACTGAGTTGCTGGTGGGCAAGAGCTGAGTTTCGTTGGTGTAAAACTGACCTGGTGAATTCAGATGATGTTATTTAGGGGCAGCATGTAACTGAGATACAGGAGGGAACTAATGACTGATCCTTGGAGGTCACCAGAGATAACAGAGAATGAACACTAACAGAGGCCACTGAGGGTAATTCTCTGGGTACAATGTGAGGAATTAGAAGGGAACCAAGTGAAAGAACCCCACCAGATGGACAACAGTAGAGAGGGGTTGGAAGAGGATGGTCAACGTGTCAAAGGTTGAGAAACATGAGGAGGGAAAGTTTAACCACAGGGTCACACAGGGTGACATTTGTACTCTGAGCAGAACAGTTTTGTTATGGGCACAGGGGCAAGAACCTAGTGGGACAAACACTGAGATTCTGGAAAAGTTGGGAATAGAATTTGGAGAGGAAGAGGGGGTTAGCAATGGCATGATAGATTGTGAGGATGGAGAGTGTGTCAGACAATCAGGAAACCACAGAATTCCACCTATCCCATGAGGGAGAGGCATTGAGTCTGGAGTGAGTGCCTGTATGGTATGCTCTGCGTCACAGAGAGGAACATATTTATGATGGTCTTAGCAAGCAGGGTGACTTAGAGACCATACTTGTCACCACGCAACAATGAGGAAGTTGTCTGGAGAAAGTTTCAGTGAGGACACTGAGCCCGAGCTTTGTTACCTTCCACAGGCACTCTGAATACAATGCTGTCACTCTGGACATCACAGAGGTATTCTCCTGAGTTGGTCGTCCAAGCGTCCAGGGAGTGAGTTCCATATTTTGCCCACTTTCTAGGCAAGATGTTTCTCGATCTTCATCATTGCCTTTATTAATGATCAATAAGATAACCCGACAGGCAATGGGCTAGTGATACTATCACTAGACTATTCATCCATAGATCTAGGTAATATTCTGGGAACACTGCATCTGAATCCCACCATGGCAGATGGTGCAATTTGATTCTGATAAAGATCTGCAATTAAGAGTCTAATGATGACCATGATACCATTGTTGATTGTCAGGAAGACCCATTGGTTCACTAATGCCTTTTATGGAAGAAATCTGCTGTCCTTATTTGGTTTTGGCTGACATATGACTCCAGGTGAACAGCAACAGGGTTGAAAAAGACATTCTTCGAGAGGGTTATTCGTCTTGAAACTCTGCCTCCCTTGCCATTTTGGAAAGAGAGTCTTAGAATGTTATTCAGCTGCAGTAATACATTCTTGATAAGGAAGGGGTGAAATGTTACAAAGGTGTTGGTGGGAACAGGGAGCACTCAGATCAGCCAAAATCTTAATGCATGGAGGAGCAGAGCTGAGGGGCTGTGGCTAATTCATAATCTTAATTTGCATGCTATAAAGTACTGCAGCCTCCAACAGCAGGTGGCAATGGTGAGGGAAGGCAGCAGGGGACCCAGACAGTAGTCAAAGAGACATACTGCACGGAAACAGACCCTTTGGTCCAACCAATCCATGCTGACCAAGTTTCCTAAACTAAACTAGTCCCACTTGCCTGCATGCAGACCATATCCCTCTAAAACTTCCTTATTAACGTCGCTGTCCAAATGTCTTTTAAATGCTGTAACTACATCTACCCACTTCCTCTAGCAGTTCATTCCACATACGAACCATCCTCTGTGTGAACAGAGTACCCCTCAGGTCCCTTCTAAATTTTTCTCCTCTCACTTTAAAAATATGCTTTCTAGTTTGAACTACCCCATCCCAGGGAAAGGATTTTTGCTCATCACCTTATCTATGCCTCTCAAGCCGCACCTCCATCTCCTACCGACCAACCTCATCCCGCCCCCTTGACCTGTCCGTCCTGGAGGGGAGTGTGGAGCGGACAAGGGAATCACGGAGAGAGTTGTCCCTCCGGAAAGCAGATAAGGGTGGGGAGGGAAAGATGTCTTTGGTGGTGGGGTCGGGCCTCCCTAACCTGTTCTTCCTCCCACCTATCCCCTCCTCCCACCTCAAGCCGCACCTCCATCTCCTACCGACCAACCTCATTCCGCCCCCTTGACCTGTCCGTCCTCCCTGGACTGACCTATCCCCTTCCTAACTCCCCACCTACACTCACCTTTACTGGCTCCATCCCCGCCTCTTCGACCTGTTTGTTTCCTCTCCACCTATCCTCTCCTCTATCCCTCTTCTATCCGCCTCCCACTCTCTCCCTATTTATTTCAGAACCCCCTTCCCCTCCCCTTTTCTGATGAAGGGTCTAGGCCCGAAACGTCAGCCTCTCTGCCCCTATGATGCTGCTTGGCCTGCTGTGTTCATCCAGCCCTGCACCTTGTTGTCTTGGATTCTCCAGCATCTGCAGTTCCTACTATCTCTGATTCAATGGTATCAATGTGGATTTCACAAGCTTCAAAATCTCCCCTCCCCCTACCGCATCCCAAAACCAGTCCAGCTCGTCCCTGCCTCCCTAACCTGTTCTTCCTCCCACCTATCCCCTCCTCCCACCTCAAGCCCCACCCCCATCTCCTACCGACTAACCTCATCCCGCCCCCTTGACCTATCCGTCCTCCCTGGACTGACCTATCCCCTCCCTAACTCCCCACCTACACTCACCTTTACTGGCTCCATCCCCGCCTCTTCGACCTGTTAGTTTCCTCTCCACCTATCCTCTCCTCTATCCATCTTCTATCCGCCTCCCACTCTCTCCCTATTTATTTCAGAACCCCCTTCCCCTCCCCCTTTTCTGATGAAAGGTCTAGGCCCGAAACATCAGCCTTTCTGCTCCTATGATGCTGCTTGGCCTGCTGTGTTCATCCAGCCCTGCACCTTGTTGTCTATGTTTTGTCCTTGTTCGTCTTACCAAAATGCAAAATCTCACATTAATCCAAATTAAACTCCATCCGCCACTCCTTAGATCATTGGCCCAATAGATCAGGATCCCTTACAGATCTGATTTGCACAAAGATATATCAATGTCAGGAAAGGCCTCAGTCAAGGACAGGGACAGACAGAGAGAGAAAGAAAGACAAAAGATTCCTCAACCAAGATGAGAACTACAGTCTCAATCCAATGTATATAATCCATTTTACTAGTTTAGTTTCAATTTAACTTCAGGCCTTTAAAGACCCGATGTCAGTAGAATAAAAAAACACTGCTTCATGATCTTTGGGCCATCTAGTTGCTTCAATCCCTCAACAGAATAAGTTTCTAAGCACAGGAGATGTTGGTGAAGAAAATTGGTGCAGTCTGATAGAGATGGGAGAATACTGGATGAACTGAAGATTATGGAGGATGGACAGTGGAAAATAAGAGGACAACACTGAAGCAGTTGTTTTTGGAAGAGACAGAGGCAGACAGCATGCTGTCATTAACAGTCAGGTTAAGAAAGGACGAGAAATTACACAGGCGGAGGACGGAGACTTTGTAGTGGAGAGGAAAAGGGATTGGAAGCTGAGCTCAGGGTCAAGCAGAATCCTGAGATTAGGAATGGTCAGGTTTAAGTTCAGACAGTTGAGGGCACTGAGCTCGATTTGTGTTACCTTCCACACGCACTCTGAGGTATTCTCCCGAGGTATTCTCTGTCGTCCGAGCGTCCAGTACACGCAGTGACCGCAACGTTCCCTCCCTCCTAATGGAGATCCTCTCGTGATCTGCCGGACCCCCAGTCTGTCTGATTATCTCAACCGGCGGCTCTGCAGATAGAACCAGAGAGGCGTTGGTTTAATGGTGTGTCAATAACAAGAATATGAATTTATTTACCACCTCTACCTTGTATAGCTGGCTCAAGATGTACAATTAAACTCAAGTTAACACGTGAACATATCGGATCTATACTTTTACGTGCAATTACACTGAGACTTACAACACAGAAATAGGCCATTCAACCCATCATGACTCTGTTGATGTTAGTTCACAAGAACATCCCCCCACACCTTTACATCTCACCCTCATTCTCCCGACTTTCTAGATGAGAAGCTTCTACATATTCATAGCTGCCTTTATTAATGAACAATTATATAACCAGGGGCGGTGATGGCATGGTGGTGTTATCAGCAGACTATTACTCCAGGTAATGTCTTGGGGCCCTGGAACTGAATGCCACCATAACAGATGTTGGAACTAGAATTCAATTAAACCCTGGAATTAAAAATCTATTGATGACCATGATACTATTGTTGATTGCCAGGGAAAACCCATCTGCCTCAATGTTATCGTTTACCTGGTCTGGCCTACATGTGACACCAAACGCACAGTAATGAGGCTGTAAAAGTTATTTTCTCATAGAAGGTTATGACTCTGTGGAATTCTGTTCCTAAAGTAGCGAGGGAAGCAGAGTCTTTGAGTAAATACATTCTTGATAACCAAGGGAGTGAAATGCTGTAAAAATTATTTTGGGAATGGGGAGTAATCAGATCAGACATGATCTCATTGTATGGAAACACAGATGACAGGAGCAGGAGGAGGCCATTCGGCCCTTCGAGACTGTTCTGCCATTTGTCACGATCATGGCTGATCATCCAACTCAATAGCCTATTCCTGCTTTCTCTCCACAACCATTGATCCCATTCGCCCTAAGTGCTATATCGAGCCACCTCTTGAATACATTCAATGTTTTGGCAGTTTTAGGGTTGGCGATGGCCGAATGGTATTATCGCTGGACTATTAATTCAGAGACGCAGGTAATGTTCTGGGGACACGGGTTCGAATCCTGCCATGGCAGATGGTGGAATTTGAATTCAATAATAATCTGGAATTAAGAATCTAATGATAACCATGAATCCGTTGCTGATTGTCACAAAAAACTCATCTGGTTCACTAATGTCCTTTAGGGAAGGAAGTCTGCCATCCTTACCTGGTCTGGCCTATATGTGACTCCAGAACCACAGCAATATGGTTGACTCTTAACTGCCCTCTGGGCATTTGGGGATGGGCAATAAATGCTGGTCCAGCCAGCGATGCTCACATCCCATGAATGAATTTTAAAAAACTACTTCCTGTGGTAACGAATTCCACAGGCTCACCACTCTTTGGATGAAGAAATGTCTCCTCATCTCCGTCCTAAATCGTCTACCCCAAATCTTCATACTGTGAACCCTGGTTCTGGATACACACACCATCGGGAACATCTCCCTGCGTCTACCCTATCCAGTCTGTTAGAATTTTATAATTCTCTATCAGATCCCTCCTTAATTTGTCTGAACTCTAGCAAAAACAATCCCAACCTAGTCAACCTCTCCTCATATGTCAAGCCCGCCATCCCCAGAATCGGCCTGATAAACCTTCGTGTACTTCTTCGAGAGCGAGAGCATCCTTCCTCAGAAAAGGAGACTAAAACTGCATACATTATTCAGGAGCAGATCTGAGGGGCCGAGTGGCCTACTCTTAATTTACATACTTATAAGAACTGGAGCCTCCAACAGCAGGTGGCACCAGTAAGGAAAGGTAGCAAGGGAGCCAGATCGTACCTACAGATACGGTTTGCACAAAGGTTTATCAAGAAGCCACATTCAGGGACAGAGAGAATCAGACAGACAGAGGGACAAAAAAATTTGTCAAGCAAGATGATCAAGTATAGTTAGAAGCCAATGTCAATACTCCATTTTCCTGGTTTTACCCTTAATTTAACTTCATACAGGCCTGATGCCAGGAGAATAAAGAAACACTGCTTCACGATCATTGGGCCGTCTGGGTGCTCAATCACTCAACACAGTAAGTTGATGTGCACAGGAGCCAACTGGTGAATAGTGCAGTTTGGATATAGAGCAGAGAATATTAGATGAGCTGTAGAATTTGGACGACAGAAGATGAGAAACTAAGAGGAAGTTTGGAGATGTCAGAGGCACGCAGCACAGCGTCAGTAACCGTCAGGTTAAGGAAGTACTGGAGGCAGTACACAGATGGAGGTGGGTGTCCTTCTGATGGACAGCAGAAGGGATTGGAAGCTGAGTTCAGCATCAAGCAGCACCCTGACTTTGGGAATGGTCAGGGTCAAGCTCAGACAGTTGAGGGCACTTTGTTACCTTCCACGCACACTCTGAATACAATGCTGTCACTCCGGACATCACAGAGGTACTCTCCCGAGTCTGTCATCCGAGCATCCAGTACTTGCAGTGACCGGAATGTTCCTTCACTCCCAATGGAGATCCTCTCGTTTTCCACCACCTTCTCCCCATCCTTGTACCATTTGGCAACACCATCCAGCCGAGTCAGCTCACAATGAAGTGTAACATCCTCGGAAGTCAAGTACTTGTGCTCTGTCGGACCCTCAATCTGTCTAATTATCTTGACCGGTGGCTCTGCAGATAGAAGCAGGGAAGTGTCAGTTTAATGGTGACTCTATAACAAGAACATGCATTTATTTAGCACCTCTACCTTTTAGAGCTGTCTCAAGATGTGCAATCAAACTCAAGTTAACACAAGACACGCGAACATATTAGAACAGATATCAATACCTTTACATAGCTACTGAGAGGTTTACAACATAGAACTAGGCCATTGTGACTCCGTTGGTTCTAGTTCACCAGAAGAACACTTATCCATACCTTTACATCTCACCCTTTCTGCATCACCATCAATTCTTTGTTCACCCATAGATTCCCCATAAATGTATTTGTGCTAATCGTTTCATTCACTCCATGAGGAAGCGAGTTCCACATTCTTCCCACTTTCTGCTTTAAAAAGCTTGTCTATATTCATGACTGCCTTTATTAAGATGATTCGGAGTTGGGGACCATGTGTAGTGTGTCAAACTTTGTGGATGACACCAAGATGAGTGATAGAGCAAAGTGTGAAGAGGAGGCATTTTAAGTGAGTGGACGAAGGTCTGGCAGGTGAATTCAATGTTAATGAATGTGCAGTCATCCAGTTTGGTGGGAGTAACAGTAAAAGGGACTTGAACGGTAAAAAATTACAGCATGCTGCTGTGCAGAGGGATCTGGGTGTCCTTGTGCATGAATTGCAGAAGGTTGGTTTGCAGGTACAACAGGTAATTCAGAAGCAAATAGAATTTTGCCCTTCATTGCTAGAGGGATTGAGTTTAAAAGCAGGGAGATTAGTTGCAGCTGTATAGCGTACTGCGTGCAGTTTTGATCTCCTTACTTGAGAAAGGATGTACTGGCGCTGAAGGGGGTACAGAGGAGATTCATTACGTTGATTCAAGAGATGAGAGGGCTGGCTTATGAGGAGAGGCTGAATAGACTGGGATTATATTCGTTGGAATTTAGAAGAATGAGGGGGGTATCTGATCGAAACATACAAAATTACAAAGGGAATAGATAAGTTAGAAGCAGGGAGGTTGTTTTCACTGGCGGGTGAAACTAGAACAAGAGGGCGTACCCTCAAAATTACGGGGACCAGACTTAGGATTGAATTGAGGAGGATCTTCTTCACCCAAAGGCTTGTGAATCAGTAGAATTCCATGCCCAGTGAAGTAGTTGAGGCTTCCTCATTGAATGTTTTTAAAGTTAAGAGAGATAATTTTTTGAATAGTAAAGTAATTAAGGGTTATGGTGAGACGGTGGGTAAGTGGAACTGAGACCATGAAAAGATCAGCCATGAACTTATTGAATGGCAGAGCAGGCTCGAAGAACGTGATGGCATACTCATGCTCCTGGCTCTTAAGTTCTTCTGTAATCCAGAGATCCTGGTAAAGTCCTGGGGACTCTGGGTTTGAATTCTGGCAAGGAAAAGGGTGGAATTCGAATTCAATAAAATTCAGGACGTAAGATTCTAATGATGACCATGTAAGCGTTATCGATTGTTGGTGGGAAAAAAACCCATCTGGTTCACTCATGTCCTTGCCCCGTCTGGGCCTACATGTGACTCCAGGCTGGAATTGACTCTTAACCACCCTCCGGGCAGCTAGGTATGGATAATAAATGTTGGCCTAGCCAGTGACACCCACTTCTATGAATGAATGAAATAAAAATCTGGTCAAAGGGTTGGACATTATTAAAGGAGGATCGAAAGGCAGAGGTTTAGGAAGGGAATTCCAGAGGTTATGCCCCAGTCATCAGAAGGGTTAGATGGTAAAAGTCATGGATCAGTAAGAAACCAAATTTTGGAAGCTGCAGAGGTGTTGGAGGGATGCCAGTCTGGAGGAGATTACGGAGATAAGTTGAGGATGACCTTTGAGAGATTTGAAAACAACAATCAGAACTGTAAATGATTATGTTCCTAGTCTGAAGTCTAACAGGTAGGAAGCTAGGAAAACATGGCAAGGTAGCTCTGTTAATTAATGCACAATAGAAAGGGATGAAATTAAGTCTGAAAACCAGGAAATAGAAATGGTTTGGGTAGAGAATATAAATGCCAAAGGCAAGCAATCACTTGTGGGAGTCGTGCCCAGGCCCCTATTACTAAACACCTAGTAGGATGGAGTATAAAGAAAGAACACTGGCAACTCGTCAGCAAGATGGTGCATTAATCATAAAGAATTTTAATCTCCATAAATACTGGAAAATAGGCACGGGTCAAGGTCGATGGGAAGTTCATAGAATGTCTCCAGGATAGTTTTATCAAACAGCAGGCTTTAGAGCTAAATAGATGGCAGGTTATACTTGACCTGGTGTTGTGCAAGGTGACAGTGCAGCCCACAGTGAAGGCACCCCAGGTAGCAGTTGTTAGCATTTGATTGAATTTTACATTTTGTTTGAGGGAGAGAAGAGTCAGTCCAAGACTAGCCTTTTAAATTTAAATAAGGGCAGTTATTGACACATGAAAGCTGACTTACCTAAAGTGAACAAGCAAATCAGAAGAAAAGGATTAATTAATAGAGATGCAGCAGCAGACTTTTCCGGGGACATTTTGAAATAAACAGAACTGATACATTCCATTGAGAAAGCAAATTTCCAAGGAGAGGAACCACAAGCTTTGTGAACCAAAAATGTTAAAGATATTATCAAACTTAAAGAAAAGCATATAATTGATCAAAGGTGTCAGTCGGACACAAGATTACTAGAACAGTAAAGAATGACTAAAAGACTAATAGGGAAGAAAAATTTATACTATGAGATAGGTAGAAAGATTTTGTTTTATTCTTTCATGGGATGTGAATATCACTGACTGGGCTAGTATTATTTGGTCATCCCTAATTAACCAGAGGGCAGTTACGAATCAGCCACATTGTTGTGAGACTGAGATCAGATGTAGGCCAGACTGGATAACAATTGCAGATTTCTCAACTGGACTAGTAATCCAGGGCTCCAGGTTAATGGTCCGAGAACATGGGTTCAAATCCCACCACATACGGTGAATTTAAATTCAATAAAAATTCTGGAATAGAAAGCGAGATTAATAGTGACCATTTAACTGTTTTAAAAAATCTTTCAATGGGACTTGGGCATTGCCGGTTTGCCAGCATTTACTGCCCAACACACTAGTTGTCCTGGAGGAGGTGATGGGGAGCTGCCATCTTGAACTGCTGCAGTCCATGTGCTGTAGGTTGACCCACAATGCCCTTAGGGACAGAATTCTAGGATTTTGACCAGGCAACACTGAAGAAGAGCGATATATTTGTCAATCGTCATAAATACCCACTGGGTTCACTAATGCCCTTTACAGGAGGAAATCTGCCATGCTTGAGGTTCATGAATCTTTGGAGCTCCTTGCCACAGAGAGCTATGAGGTCAGAGTCCTTGTGTATATTTAAGATCGAGATAGATAGATTTCTTGGACAGTCGGGGAATCAAGGGTTATCAGAAACAGCAGGAAAGTGGATGTGAGGAATGTCAGATCAGCCATCATCCTATTTAATGTCGGAAGAGGCACAAGGGTCAAAATGACCTACTCCTTATGGTTTTATATTCTAAGGAAATTTGCAATCCTTGAAGGTCATGAATCTATGGAATGTTTTTCCTGAAAAGGTGGTGGAAGCAGAATTCTAAAATATTTTTAAGGCAGAGGTAGATAGATTCTAGATAAGCAAGAGGATGAAATATTACTGGGGTAAGTGGGAATCAGATTTAAGGTTGCAATTAGAATAGCCAGGACCTCATTAAATGGAGGAGCTGGTTGAAAGGCTCAGTGGCCAACTTGTAGCCTTAGTTTAGAAGAGAAAGAGATGGCTTGATTGAACCATATAGGATCCTGAGGGGTATTGACAGGCATGTTTCGCCTTGTCAGAGAACCTGAAACTTGGGGTCACTGTTCAACTATATGTAATTGCCAATTTAAGATAAATATGAGAAGCTTTTTTCCTTACAGAGAGTCATGAGTGTATAGAATTCTCTTCTCGAAATGGCACTGAAAGTACAGTCTTCGAATGTTATTCAGGTGGAGTCAATAAATTCTTGATAATAAAAGGGATGTGATGTCATAAAGGTGTTGGTGAGAATGGGGATTAATCAGATCAGCCACGATCTCATTGCATGGAAGAACAGACCTGATGGGCCAATGGCCACTTCTACCACTAAATTACATGCTTATAAGGTATGAGGGCCTGTAAAAGCAGGTGGCAATGGTTATTGGGGGTGGGGTGGGGCAGCAGCAGCAGATAGTACAGACAGACACGATTTGCCCGAAGGCATATCAATGTCAGGCAGAGGCCCCATTCAGCATGATTTGGCAGGATCAGGAGTGGGGTCTCACAGAGTGGAAGAGACAGATAGACCAAAAGACAAAAGATTTTGCAAGCAATATGTGAACTATTCCCTCAGTCCAACGTAAATACTCTGTTTTCCTAGTTGTAGTCAATAATTTGACTTCACGTTTACCAGGTCTTGATGTCAATAGAATAAAGAAACCGTGTATGTGATCTTTGGGTGCTCCAATTCCTTCATAAAATAAATTTTTAAGCAGAAGGGTGATGAGTGAAGAGACTTGGTACATTATGGGTACAGAACAGAGAATATTGGATTATCTGAATTTATGGACGATGGATGTTGGGAAACCATGAGGAAAACATTGGAACGGTTGAGTTTGGAGGGGGCAAAGGCCCGCAGCATGGTATCAGTAACAGTCAGGTTAAGGAAGGACATGAGGGAAGCAATGTTACACAACCCGAGGTCGGTATCTTTGTGATGGACAGGAGAAGGAACTGGAAGCTGAGCTCAGGGTCAACCAGCACCCTGTCTTTCCAGACCTTTGAGCATACGAGTTAGAAAGTCATGTTGAGGTTGTACAGCACATTGGTGAGGCCTCTTCTGGAGTACTGTCTCCAGTTCTGGTCACCCTGTAATAGGGAGGGTATTAACAAGCTGCAGAGGATTCAGAAAAGATTTACCAGGAAGTTGGCAGGAATGGAATGTTTGAGTTATAGGGAAAGACTGGATACTTTTTCACTGGAGTGTAGGAGGTT